ATGACTAATGAGTTGCATCATGGTGCCAACCGATTAATTTTCGAACAAATGATTTATCTATGACTAATGATGATAATGGAATTATACGGGGGGAAAAGAGATATATAGTATACAAATTACGGGGTTGGGCAAAAGTATAGAACCAGGTGAATATCTCGGTAACTATTCGTTAGTTCTTTTTGAATATATATTATGTACAGGGTGATTTCAGAACGTGGTGGATTTGAAAATGTTATCGTCGATGTTGCCACTTTTTCAGTTATTCCGGAATGGGCTTATATCACAAAAAATTTTTATTTCATTATTCGATAGAACTCACCCAAACTAGCTCACCACCGCAAACCGTTTATCGCTGTGAGCTCCCTACGTTTTATGAAAAATTATTGAAATCCCCGATTTTTCGGACCTCTGAAAACGAGGCGATGATGTGACGTCAAAACCCTAATACTGAAACAGGACTATTCCAGGCAGAGATAAATGATACTTGATTTCTGGCAGAGTGAATTAGCGCGAGATCACAGTTGAAAGAATCAATAAATCAATTGCCTCAGTCTCCGTCCGGCGTTTGGTATTTTCTTTTAACTATGGCGAGATGAGGTTTCTACGTCATAAGAGGGTCCGTTTTCAGAAGGTACTATTATTTATGTCCAAAAATGAAACATTCCAGTCTATTTTTCGATCGAATTATGTCGTCAATTATTATTTATGTATAAAAGGATCATTATAAACATGGTTTGAGTTAAAAGTTTCACCAAGCTGTACACGCCCATTATTATTTACTTCCTTATTTTGAATAGAATACCCTGTACTTTATTGGACTTTCAGATTCTTCCTGAAACGCTGATTTCATCGATTCATCACACTTGGGGTCTAGCAAGAATGATTACTGTTCGAAATCGAGATTTTTCAACTTTAGGATTTTTTTGTGTAGAAACTATTCATTATTGCTCAAAACGGCTCACATATCCCTACGTCAACTTTTGATTCACTATCTATACCGACATTTAATTGAAACAAATACAGAGGGTAGTTCAAGATTCAGAAATCTGATCACCCTGTATCTGTTCCCATTAAATACCAATAGATAGTAAATCAAAAGTTGAGATAGGGACTTGAAAGCCGTTTTGACCGATAATGAATAGTTTCGACACAAAAAAATCCTAAAGTTGAAAAATCTCGATTTTCAACCCCCTATATCTCAGTAATCATTCTTGCTAGACCCCAAGTGTGATGAATCGATGAAATCAGCTTGCCAGGGAGAATCTGAAAATTCGATAAAATACAGGGTGTTCTATCTGAAATAAGGAAGTTAATAATAATTCCGGAAGAACTGAAAGAGTGGCAACATCGACGAAAACATTTTCAAATCGACCACAATTTGAAATCACCCTGTACATATATTCAAAAAATCTAACAAACGGTTACCGAGATATTCACCTGGTTCCATACTTTTGCCCAACCCTGTATAAGATGAAGTATTGAACACGGACACAGAATGAGTATTCTGTGACACGGATAATATACTGACAGTATTATTTTCGAAAGTCTAACGATTTAAAAAAAATTAACCTAGGCTGAGGCTGAGAATATAATCTTTCCTAAAATATCTAGATATGTTTTGTTAACTGGAAAGAAGAGGAAAATAATTAACTATGTGGTCTACTTCTTGTAAGTGCGCATCCAAATTGACATTTAGTATAATAATAATAATAATATGTTCATTTCCACAGAATTAGAATACAATGGAAGAAATGATGATAGCAAGTTAACATTAGGTAAATAAACATTAGAAAACCCACAGAAGCAGCAAATGCTGCTTGTACGTGGTGAAAAAGTATGAATTTCGTTTGACGATCTATTATTGAAAATACTAAGATTAATAATTTTGGAATAAAAAACTGAGTAGGTATAAAAATTCAAGAGTGCAAAATATTTATATACAAAATAATCAAAATGGATCGATATAGAAACAAATGAAATGAAAGAACTCCGGTGTTAAACAATCACAAAAACTTCGGAGACGTATAATATATATGTATATAAAATTACTGACAATACTAGAATAAATAATTTCGGAATATGAATCTACGTACAAAAATTCAAGATTGTAGAATACTTAATTAATTTGTGTTTGTGAAAATGTAATGAGCACTTGAAAATATCTAAAATAATTGACAAATTGTTCTATGGAACGAAATCCATCGATAGTTTCCTAATTCGGCTCTAATTAAGTTGAAATTTGAGGACTGGTTATTTTTTGTAATAAAATTGGAATTTTTGAATAACGAGTTCAATAAAAATTCTATTTTTCAAATTGGATGCGCAAAATAAGTTTTTTGTTTTGCCTGAAGACGGATCTGGATTCTAAATTCGATTCATATTTAGTTTTGATGGGAAATATGAGTTGGATATACCCACCAAGTATGAATCGATTATACACAGTGGTTCGAAAGTTATGACCTGACCATAGATTAAGATTTTGCCAAAATCAAGATTACGTTCTGTATCACAGTTATTGATGATGGTACATTCTTAAAAGATACAGTTTCGAACAGGAAGCACGAAAACCAGAAGAAATAATACAACAAACGGTACGAAACATATAGTATAGGGAGAATCAGTCGGGAGAAATCCATGAAAATATGCATGTGATCAGAATTCTGAATCTTGAACCACCCTGTATCTGTTCCGATTAAATATCAGTAAATGGTGAAACAAAAGTTGAGATAGGGACATGCGAGCCGTTTTGACCGATAATGAATATTTTCGACACAAAAAAATCCTAGAGTTGAAAAATATCGATAATGAACGCCCTATATCTCTGTAGTAATCATTTTCGATAGACCTCAAGTATGATATATCAATGAAATCAGCTCTTCAGGTAGGATCTTAAAATGCGATAAAATACAGGATGTTCCGTTCGAAATATCAATGTTGCTACTACTTTGTCGAACATATCTTAAATGAAAAGAGCGTATACCAAAATATGAGCATGCACATTTTCATGGATTTCTCCCGACTGATTCTCGATTTAAAGATAGTGTAAGCTCGTCGTGACATACCCTGTATATAGGGTAATGAAGTTAAATGAATACAAAGAAATATGGGAAAAAATTGAGAGAATTTTTCTGCACTCACCAGTGTGAAAAAAATAAGGCTTTGATGAAACAACACGAAACACTTGAACAACACACGTTCCCGATATTATTATTATTGAATCGAATGAGGAATACAAAAACACTATATACGAATCAATGCGATCACTCAGTTTTTAGGGAACACTCAGTTTGGAACGATAAATAATTTCTTTCGCGTATTTTTCGATGTCCATCACAATATTCGACCGTTCGTGATGACATCTAATATAAGACTGTCTTGATTTACCACCTGGTCCCGAATGAATGACTAATAAATTGAATCATGCTGATAACCGATTAATTTCCGAACAAAACATTATTTATCTATGACTAATGTTGATAATGGAATTATACGGGGGGGGGGGGGAGATATTTTGTATACAGGTGCTATTTTTTTTCGAAAATCACTAACGATATGGAAGAATTCTACATAGGCTGAAAATATATTTTTTCCAAAAATCTCGTAATTATGGAAGAACTTAACATACAATATGTAGTGAAGAGATCGATCCCTCTCCATTACCAAGAAATAAATTACCACAGTGACATACAAGCAAACAATTTTTGTTTTAAAAATATTGGTCACACGTAGTGGAGATAAATCAAAGGAGTAGCTACTCTGAGATTTCTAGATGTATCGAGTGGTATCGGCTCAAAATACCTATCAGACTTTTGACATTTTTTGTTTTTTAGGTTATATTGAGGTCATTGGCGTATCATACGTAATTTCCATATGGAAATTACGTATCATACTTAATTTCCATATGGAAATCCTGATTCAGCTATACCAAGATATAGTTGTACAATCTTCTAGTTTTAGAGTTTACTACTCCAGCATAATCTTTGCGAGGTAGGGAACTCATAATTTGTACTAAAAGCTTGCTATATTTCACCAAAAGAGACAGTTCTTAGACTGTATACCAGGGTTGACTGAATTGACTGAATGAATTCTGATTTCAAGCTGAGCAGTAGTTTAACTATGAGCTGAATGTGCTGAGCCTTATGATTGAGAAATGGTGAAAACCCCGATGTGGGTATCTGAACTACTGTACTCATGTCATGTGTGCTAAATATATTTTCGGAAATCCAACTCGGAGAAAATTTTATGGAGTGACTAATTCTAGGACGAAAAGTAGGCTTATAAAAAGTAATACGTGAAATTGCATGAAAATGAAGATTAGAATATACTTCAACCCCATGTTATACATATGATTTTTCCGCCTCCCTTAAATAAAAAGTCATTTCCAGATAATTCATTGATGAAAGTAACAAAGAAGCAGGTATACAGTATAACTTATTTTCAATTTGTGGTAGAGTAATAATTATATACACTAATGTTAAAAATGCAGTTTTGAGCAGTGGGTATTTGAATACCACTAGAAGTGAGATCTGGAGCCAATGCAGTATTCGTGATATTTTCATAAAAAACTTCAATGACTCACAATTTGGTTCGAAATATTATGCTATTTTGTGAGAGATTGCTGCACATACCCTTCAGCCGTAGACTTCCAAGCAAGAATGTCTCCTCCAGAATTTGCAAGTAAACTTGCCGAGGTTCTTCTGAAACTATGCCCGAAATAATTTATGACATCAGGCAGTTCTAAAAACTCTGCAATTTTTTTCATGAATTTTAGCAATAGAATTCTTTCCAACCATTTTTTTAGCTTTTTGCGTCATTCAATTACAGATTTTGCTTCACCAATCAAAATACGAAACGTAAAAAGCAAAACGTAAAAAGTTTGATTGTGAACGCCGCTTTCTCACGTCTCAATCCCCTACCCTCCTCTGACCTAGAGTTCCTAAATGTATTGCAGTGTCAAGTGAATTTAGGAACTCTAGTCTGACCCAACCCTTCCGTTCCAGGGACCACGACCTCCGCGTCATCAGACCCTTCGTCTACGTCAGAGAAAAAGCTCTGCGCCAGTTCAGCGCCGACGCCAACCTGCCAGTCCTTCCCTGTCCCGCCAGTCCGAAGCTACCCAAGGAGCGCCAGCGGATCAAGCAGCTGCTCGCCCAGCAAGAGATCCTCTTCCCGAAGCTGTTCGACTCGCTGCGCTCCGCTCTGCAACCGCTGCTAGGGTTCGAGGAGGTCGCAGGGAGGCACAGGAAAAGACTGAAGTCGAACGGCAGCGAGAGTGAGACCGACGAGGAGCCGGCCTTCGTTAAAGAGTGAGGTTAGGTGGGGGACCTAGGCGGGAAACTCCCCAGATAACACCGATTCACTTGAGGAATGACAGCCGACTATTGAAATTTGAGACATTTGAAACGAGTGCTTTATAAATGATGGTAAAAACGCACTTTCGCGTCAGATAGGTACTTGGAAAGTGCTCGAAAAACTCACCCCCCTTGATACGGATTTGCAAGCGCATATACGTTGGTGGCTGAGCGCTCCAATTATTGAATCATTGAAATTTGTTGCCGCTGTAGCACTTCTAATGGCGCGTTCACATGCTGGCTTTTCGCCTTTTGACTTACAGCGTATCCTCATCTCGTTGGCCGATTCGTCAGAAAGCGCTTATCGAGGTCATAAGCTAGAAAGTCGGTTTCAGACCGACTTTAGCGGAAAAAAGCTCAGATCGTTTGACAAACCACACAAATATTGACAAAATGAATACATATTGGTGCTATATCATCATATTATGCAGTGTGGGAAACAGTACTCGAAAAACACTCCTAAAAATGTGATAAATGTAGTTTCTGGAGGACGTACATCTGAAATTTAACCAAATATGTGGCAGTCACTGTCACTTTTCCAACTTTTCCATGTGAACAGTGCGCCCGTTTTATTCAAGCTTTCTGCTGTAGGCATAAGCTGGCATGTGAACTTGCCATAAGTCAATAATTTATTCGACGTTAATGTTTATTAGGACCGCCTGAATCTTTCAAATAACATCGAGGTCAAGTGACGTCACCCACAACAAATGTTTTTTCTTCCTTCTCTATATTGAGAAACTATGACTACTACGAGTGAAGCGATAGCTTAGTGGTCTGTGTATCTGACTTCCACGGTGGTGACTGGGGTTCAATCCCTGCGAGGCGTGAATTTTTTTTTAAATTTATTTCACTCAACCCAATTAATTTTTCAAAAATATACTTTTCAGGAAAACGGCCCGTATTTATAGTTGCTCCTTAAGGTGACCTCGTCCCTTAAGGCATCTTTTATTACCAGTTTCCAATTTATAGTTCTAATATGAGCTCAAAGGAAGCCTCAAGGAAATGTCAATACCAAGGAGGTACCTCGAGCATTCCTTGATCCAATTTCCAGTATTATTTCTGGTTATGTTATGAATTCCATGAATGGAATGATGAAATTGAATATAGCAATCAAATGAATATGCAAGTCGAGTATATCGATTTCCAGTAGAAGCTGATTCAAGTTTAGTTGAAAAGTGAATCTTTTTTCATTTCAAATCAGGTATATATTACAAATGATGGAAATTCATCAAATTCACAATTATATATAGGTATCATCTTGACGATTTCTTCATGAAATTAAAATACATACATTTTTGAAATAATACTCATATCAAACGAGGAAATCCCAAATAATCGAGTAAAATAGAGATTTTTCTCTTCATTTTGCGGAACCTTGAAAATATTCCGTCTGTGATCGAAGTAATATATTGTTAGGCCCAATTTGAACCGGAGAGTATTATCACTGGATTATTAGATTCTTGAATCTTTCAATGTCCACACTCAACAGTAAACATTGTCAAATTCGACATTTTACATTTTGTGACAAATAAGTGACATGAAACAACAAATTTGGTCACAGAACACTGATATTATACACTGTTGCCAAGTGTAAGGGCTCCTTTTAGAACAAATACTCAAGGGAGGTCTATAAAACAATTTTAACGTCAAGTACTGAGGAGTCCTCAAGGAAGACTTGAGGAATTCTTGAGGAAACGACTATAAATACGGGCCTTAGGACAAGTTAGGTTGAAGGTACTTTCCTTTTTGATGCAGAAGAGGTATTTCCTTTCTCATATTACCTCATAAATCTTATAAACACGAATAATTTTCTGATAACCTTGAGGTTTGAAAGATTCACTGGTCTAGCTACACGTTTATAAGGGTGTGCGTTACAAATGGCAGATGGTTGGTGTTATCTGGGTCGGGTTTCGAGTGGCAGCCTCTAGCCACTTTCTATTTGACTGTGTGGAAAATACCAGAGCTACTCCAGAGCATGAAAAATAGACAGGAACGCGTTCTTTTTGTTATTGCTTGAAGCCCCGGTGCTTCACTGTGCTACACCATCTACCTTCCCCTACAATTCTGTCACTGTTAAATGACCAGCTATTTTTGGATATTTTCGAAGATTATTTATTATTTTGATGTATCAGGATAGTTCAATTGAGGTCTTTTCTAGCTTGAACGAGAGAGAGGAAAGTAATCTCCTCTTCTATCTCTCTCTGCAATGCTACCAACGTGGCCGCATTGAAATATGGAGAGGTCCGATAAATCTTTCCTCGTCTCACATCTACTTTGTGCCACTGAACTATTTTTCAATTCAGCAGAGTGTCAAATTTAACGATATTAACAAATTATGTCAAAATAAGTGTGATATAAACATATGGATATAAATCAAAATTTCATTTTGAAAATTCTAAATGTCATGTAATATTCATGACATAGACATATCACGTTATTATAATATCGAAAATAGTTCAGTGGCGCAGACTAGAGGTTAGACAAGGAAAGATTTATCGGACCTCTCTATATTTCAATGCGGCCACGTTGGTAGCATTGAAGAGAAAGATGGAAGAGGAAAGAACTTTGCTCTCTCTCGTTCAAGCTAGAAAATACCTCGATTCACAATAATTGAATCTTGAATCGGTGAGTGGAAGAACTGAAAGAAGAGTCCAAGTGCAGAAATACAGATTTTACAGGAAACGGATAAAACTAATTATTTCAAAAAGAAAGAATTTCGTGTTGGTGTGCATAGGTGACTTGTTCCTCATGTTAATTGAGGTTGTTTAAAAAAAAAAAAGATTAATCACCATAGTGGAAATGAGACTTTTAGTCATAAATATACGATGATTACAGACCCTTCTTCCACTCAGTTGATTTTTTCAATGTTCTCTCATATTCTTCCATTTCATTCAATTTCTAGCTATGTAATGAAAAAAACAATGGAAGATTATATACCATCAAAATCAAAAAAATTTATACAGTACTTTCGGCAGAGGTAACATTCCATGAAACAATATGGTAATTGTAAAAACTTCACAAACGATAAGAAGATTCTCAAACACACGACATGTTTCGCTAACACAGTAGCTTCGTCAGGTGATAAACAAATATGGTCATACAATTCTAAATCTTTATTACTCTTGTTACCTCCATCTTCACCACTTGAACTTTCCATTGTTATTTTGAAAAATAATTGTTATAAACTATTCTTTCTGCCGTTTTTCACACTCGCTAACTATCTCGATAACTAATGTAACTAATGCAAAATAAGGTAATTTTGCACTTATCATGCGATGGGTTTTTTTTCGAAAATTTTTTCTGGTACTCACGTATTTTTGTCTGAAAAACACGAATTTGATATTAAAAATGTGAACAAACCACTATTCATCGAGATATTTCAAGAAAAAGTTCGAAATTTTGCCTTATTTTCCCCCTTGTGTTGGATGCATTTACAGGTACTTGCTCTTTTTATTTTGTCATTGGACACTTCATATACTCATGATGTACTTCAATGACACATTTTAAGCTAGAAAATTCAACAGGAAATATGATTTTTATGGCGAGTTTTTCCTATTTAATGAGCAAGCATACCAGATGACCGCCATTTAATCGATGGGTAATCCAAATAGGAGATGTCAAGTGTCATTAGATTGCTTTGAAATGACATCACTCACGCCATTATTTCAAATGATATTCTTCCTTCTTTTCACTAAACATGGATAAATCACAAGAAAATCATATTTCTAGTTGACTCATATAATAAAAAAAAATGTGTCCAACATTGTGTGATATATATAAATTGTCCAATGATGGAAAAAGAAGGGCAAATTGTTCTAAATGCGCCCCAAAGACAGGCGGAAAAGAAGATGAAATTTGTAACTTTATAGTGAAATATCTTGATAAATAATGGTTTGTTCACATTTTCATTATCGAATTTGTGTTTTTCAGACAAAAATACGTAAGTACCAAAAAAAATTTTCGAAAAAAAAAACCATCGCATGATAAGTGCAAAATTACCCAAAATAATCTCTGAAGATCAGCCGACGCAATCCAACACGTACTGCTTACTGAGTGGAAGAGCGGTCAGTCTGTATCAGAGATGGGCGATTTCAGGCGAATATCATTGAATTTTGGACCGTCTTTGTGCTCAGTCGATGGATGGAGGTAATTTTACCGAAATGGATGTCTCACTTTGAAATGTCAAAAACGGTCACTTGGACCCTTCTTCCACTCACCGATTCAATTATAATAATATGCTCGTCTCCAGAGTCAGACATATTATCAACATAGGTTGGCTATATTACAATATTTTCCAAAAGAAAACAATAAGAGCGCATGCGCAAGGACGTTCATTGTGAAAGTTCACTAAAATGCGTTCTATTTGGAAGTAGCTCAAGTGCAAACAGAAAGTGGCTTCTGTCGTGGTGATGTCGAGGTGGAACGGTGATCGATTCTGTGAATCGGATCGACCTGTTATAAGGGAGGGTTATCACTGGTGGTTTTGGATGAAGGACTTGCGGAGACTGTGGTTGAATACTCAAGTACGAAAGTGTACTCTCAAGTATGAGTATGAGTATGTACTCATAGGACGACAATAATGTTCTGATTTGTCTGAGTACGTTCTTCGGCGACTTGGTTACCGTCCTCAGTAGATCGGAAAATAAAAGGTGTTGATGAAGACGGAACTGTTCGTAATAGGCCAGAACACAAATTTGTGAATTCAATGAATTAAGTAGTAGTAGTAGGTAGTATAGTATACAGAGTGGCATTGGAATGAGTGCAAATATTTCAAACATGTGTACTATCGAATGGCACTAATAAAAAAAATTTAGGGATCAAAATAAAATTTGAGCTTAGACCTCTTTTTCCATCTAAAGTTCTACACTTGAGCAGATCTGGCGTCACCTCTGTTCAAATTTCCATGCGGTATGCACAATCACGCGGATTTCAATCAATTAAATTGTTTGTGGCACGTTT